TTGAGGTGTGCAATTATCGGTCAATTACGGCGGTAATTGCATTGTAGAAAACGAAAGAGCCCTGCGCTAATTGCACATTTCATGGGAATACACTTAACAATTTGATAAGTAGGTAAGGTGAGTTTGTAATGTCTATTCGGGAAATATTCCCCCGAATTACACTCGTGCATCAAAATAAACCTGATAATTTTTAGCGCATTTTCCAACGAAATTGGGTGCGCTACTGCAGCCACTTTCTCTGTCCGTCCGTCTGTCCGAGGCCTTAACTACTCCTACAGTTTTCAAGATATTTAGTTCGTTCTTTTAGCATTCGGTAGCGTATCGCTCTGGCACCTGAGTCAAAGAAAATCTTGACGATTGAACTGCGCAAAGGCAAATATATCGCATATAGTAAAAATCAGATGTGCGCATGCGCAGACTGCGCAATGCAAACTTTCTTATTTATGGAAATATTTCTTTGAAATTTTAACCAAAGATACTTATAGTAAAAGCAAACGTATTGCATATTGTAAATATCAGATTAATAAGCGCATGCGCAGGACGCGCAATATCAACTGCGCAGTAAAGTGTCAACTTCCTTATTTATGAAGATATTTCTTTAACATTTTAACCATATATGCATCTAGTAATGAAAAACGTAGCGCACATAGGTATGGCATTTGGGGAAGTATTGATCAATTTATGGAAAATGCGCTGAAGTTACTCGCCTTAGGGCGAAAACCTTTTTACTTGTTTATTCAAATATCTTATCAGTAAAAAACTGCGTTCGGTTATTTTCATAATTTGTTAAAAGAGCATTTTGATGAACTTGTGCAATTACCTACGAAAATTGTCACAAAGCAAAGTTTTAATAGCGATCCTCGAGATGGTTTATAGTTTTGTATCTATTACTGTCTGCCGGTTTAGTGTGTTGTCACTTCACTCAACGAAACAAGCGCTCGTATGAATAAAAGTAAGCAAATGCTTATACTTACAAAATTCAAAGTAAATACTCGTAACTGCCCCTTCATACTGGTCTGTTTAGCATGGTTTAGCAGCGCTGCACTGCGTCCTGTCCTTCTGCTTAGAAGCGCTGCTAAGTCACCCAGTGCGAAGGAGCACTTACGAGTATTTACTTTGAATCTTGCAAGTATAAGCATTTGCTTACTTTTATTCATACGGGCCCATGTGTATTGTATGCAAAAAATCCCCTGAATCCGTAAATGACAGTCTAGCTGACCGGAAACTCCGGGAACATATTGCTATACACAAGAAAACGAAGAAAAAATGGGAAAATATCGTTTTTTCGCATTTAACTTAATTAGGTATCTCGTTAACTATTCCTCTTACGGAAAAAATGAAGAGAACGATTTCTTTAGAATCGATTTTTCTATCAGATACAGTTGGTATGATTTTTATTAAACAGAGTGCCAAGGGCCTATTATAAAGTTACTTTCTTGTTCTATTTCTGGGGTTTCCACTAAACTAATTCCACAATCCGTCGATTTGCAAAACTCATCGGGACAACAGAGACAATTGTTGGAATAGGTTGTTTTACGGTTCCCCCATCCATAAAAATATTGAAAACGCTCTGGGAGTCATCCAGTTTGAAAGACAAAGCATCGAGAAGGGCGTATCAACAAAAACAAATGTTAATTTTTGGGATTACTTTTTTTTGTATTTTTCAAGAAAAAACAATAACATTTAAAAATGAACGGTTCTGTACCAACTGAAAATTCTATTCGAAACAAATTCATTTCTATGAGCTCGAGCATTAGTTGACGAGATAATTGGAAGTCAAATGCGAAAAAAACTGCATTTTTCCATTTTTTCTTGGTTTTTTTGTGTATATAGCAATATGTTCCGGGAGAATCCGGGCAGGGAACTACTTAGAATACACTTGGTTTCGTTGTGTGAAATGCCAACATCCAGTTGGCTTTATACTTTTGGAGCTAATTGGCTGGACTATGTTGACCCTACACATTGACATAAAATAAATAAAGTTCGTTAAGTGCTCCCTTCCCTAATCAAAAAATTTTGTGATGTTATTATCACAGATCATGGTATAATAAATATCACATATACATATAGGTAGGCAAGGCCGTGCGAGGGGGAGGGGCGAGGGGGGCCCAGGCCCTGGACGCCAATTCTGGGGGGCGCTGAAGTGAAGTCGCCCGTCGTCGCCTTCGTCGGGAGCGTCAAAGGCGTGAGTGAAAGATTTACCTCGAATTATATAAACGAATCGGTAAATACTCTTGTTTCGTATTTGATAAATTCAGAATCAGTAAAAATTTAAAAATTAAAAACTGTCGCGTTTATAAAGTCGGTAATTCCATGGAGTTAGGAAATCAAACAAAAGCGCCTGCATTTGCCATGTTTGATTTCAAATTGCCATGGCCATGATTTTCTTAAAAGCGCAAGTTTTTAGTTATCCAATTTCTGGAATTCAAAGTTCAGAAAATTAAAAGCTATAGTATGCATGGATTCGTAATTTGTTTCCCTACAAAAAACCTAAATAGACTTTCTCTCTAAAATAATTACAGAAGTCAATAATCAGAAATGAAAAAATTACTATTGCAATTCCTATGGTGCCTTGTTCAAGTCACCACCCGGTATAATAATATATTTATTATGGAAAAACAAAAATTATGTTTATTATTCTAATAAAATCTTTCCTTGTCCAACCTCATAATTTTATATGTGGAGGCTAAATTTAGTTTCCGCCCTTGTGTATAATAACCAAATTCGCTCCATCAATTTTTTAAATGTTTAGAAAAGCGAAAAATGAAGAATTAAAATGTATCCTCTTTCATGTAATTTATGATGTTATACAAGTGGGCGCTGAGCGCTTATCTTATCTACGTAAAGGCCGGCGTTGAAGCCGAGGAAGTAAGGTTTGAGTATATGTATTTTATTTTTACAAAAATGACTCCATCTATTACACACTTTTATCACACACAACAGTTTTCTGTGCGTCTACCACATTTTACAACAAATTATTTCGACTGCTTCAAGGTAGACAACACACTAACCGTACTCTATTAGGTGTTGCGTTTATTTCTACAGCATTGCATTGACCGTCTGTAGTATATGTTGTCTGTGATGGAAATAATCAGCATTCAGCGACCTCCAAATTTAATCAAGAGCCTGCCCCGCCAACTCGGCTGTACACAATTCCTTTCCGGAAAACCCACAAACAGATAAGAAAGAACGCCCTGTTCATAATTGTTTGTACCTGAGTTATCACCCAATTAACCATCATTCACCTCATTTCATTCACCATTAGTACAGCATAATTTTAACCACCATCAATCGTAACTTTGTGTTATAAATCAATTAGATTAGGTTAACATTATAATCAATAATACGTGCCGATTTATCTGTCGGTTGGCATGTGAGTTAAAGACAGATTGGCGCCCAAAATTTATGTAATAAATTTAAAATGAAATTGTAAATATTTGTATCCACGACCCCGCCACCCCCAGGAACTGAGTAGAGCCAGTGGCACCATTAAACTTATTATTTTTCTAACGTCACACAACTGTGTGATGTTAGAAAAATGTGTGACGTTAGAAAAATAATAAGTTTAATGGTGCCACTGGCTCTACTCAGTTCCTGGGAGTGGCGGGGTCGTGGTTACAAATATTTACAATTCACTCACTCACTACATCGTTCTCTTTTATGCTGCTCGGTGATATAATTAGCGACGTTTCAAAAGCTTGATGGGTCGCCGGTGTTCCCGGCTAATATCTATTTCTGATCTCTTCGCCAACCGGAAATGCCTTCTACAGTTGGCCTCATACTAAAGACAACAAGTCCTCCCTTAGCGGCAGTGGGAACCTTAAGCTCATCACGGATATTGCAACACAAAACGTTTACACTCCTGTATCGCCCAAATATGGTTTATAGTTTAATGTAACACAAAAATATAAATATCTGATCTACCAACCAACAAAATGGGAGACATGTGGAAGTTGCTTTGATTTATGAAATTAATACCATAAAAATGAATGCATTCAAACGCTTGAGGATGTTACTAGGCAATCACCCTTAGATAAAATTTGTAAGTTATCTGTTATGCGTGTAGACTCCGTTAGGGTAGATTTGAATTTTTGAAGATTTTTAGTAGGTTTGCAATGGAATATTTTATTTATTTATTGAATCAACTACGTTTGTTACTAAAAAACTAAAAAACGAGGATTGAATTTTAAATCCAGACAGGTTAAAAAAGTTGTGTCAATCATGTTGATATATGAAAATTGACTACTGAACGCTGTCATCGTCAGGTTGACGAATATACAACAAATTCGAAACAAATAATGAAAATGCTTTTCAAGTAGAAAATATAGCATGGGGTAGTTTAAATCTCGGATAGTAAATACACGTGATTCGCTTAGCCGATTGGTTTCAGTTTACATTCACTAATATTTGTGTATCTTCAAGTTTAACAGACTCAATATCGACGAACCTTATCGAATTATGTCCACATAAAGTTTTTGCTCGTTTCACAAACGAAAAAGAACAAATACGATGAACTTTCACATTTTGGATACACATTTATTAATTGGCAACAACTAAAGCACATGACGGAATTCTAGCAATGGAAACATTTCCAGATTATTTCACTTGTGGGTTGTTAATCAAGTTAACAATCGTGTAAATTGGAATGGCCACACGTCAATGCTAATATAGTATTTTACATTATTAGCATGGTAAGAAGGTTTTTACTGGCGATAGAAGTTGACTGGCGAGCCGTCAGGCGAGCCTGTCATCTCCTAGAGCCAGTAAAAACCGTTACCGTGCGTATATTGTATAATATTTTATTCGTTTATCACTTGTAAAATTTTAGATTGTAAATCATAATAAGTTCTAGGAATTTAGAAATTACTCCTAAAAAATTAGGAAACTTAAAATCGTATGAGCTTTTAGACTGATTTCCCAGGAAACGCTGGTAATTTGTTTTGTTGTTTACTTATGCCATTTTATTTATCGTCTTCGTCAAGATTTTTCGATCCATTAAAATGAGTGTACCGCAAGCGATTGTTGATGAAGCGACAAATGTGGCGGCAAGTTTGTTGCCCGAAAAATCTTCGGCAAGATACGAGCACGAGTACGCCGAATTCAAAAAATGGCAAAACGAAAACAATGTGACTGGTATTACAGAAGACGTCCTATTAGCGTACATCAGTAGTTTGTCAAAAAAATTCAGCCCAAATTCTTTATGGTCAAAATGGTCAATGGTTAAGAGCTGTTTGCAGGTTAGAGAAAACATTGATGGCCGGAGGTTTGTTTTTATCTTTTTACAAACAGAAAATTTTTATTTGACATTTCTAGATTTCATAAAGTGATTGCATTTTTGAAAAGGCGAAATGAACGCTACGTTCCCAAGAAAGCTAAAACTCTGACGAAGGAGCACGTGGAAAAATTTATATTAGAAGCCCCTGACGATAAATGGTTGCTCGCCGAAGTCATTACAATTTTTGGTATATTTGGTTGTTGTCGGTGCGATGAACTTTTATCCCTCACTTTAAATGACGTGGAGGATTTGGAGAAATATATTGTTGTGACCTTACGCGAAACTAAGAATTTAACAACTAGGAGGTTTACAATAACAGATGATGGGTGTAGTTTCAAACCCTGTGTTATTTATCGAAAATATGCCGCTTTACGTCCTCACAGAAGTAAGGACCTGCGGTTGTTTTTGACGTACCGGAATGGAAAATGTGTCGCCTTAAATGCAGGTCAACATACTGTTGGAACAGTACCTAAAAAGATTGCTGAATATTTAGGATTACAAGAGGTCGCGCTGTATATACAGGTCACTCATTTAGACGGACTGGAGCAACGATGATTGTTGATGGTGGTGGTGATATTTTTAGCTCTAAAACGTGCAGGGGGGTGGAAATCAACAACAATTGCAGAGAGCTATGTGGATGACTCAATTAATAAGAAGATTGAACTGTCAAAAAGTATGTTCTCAGTTAAAGAATCCATGCCGTCCACTTCTACAGAGTATCCACATGCAAATATAAGAAGTGACTTAACATCGTCATCTGGAGTGATCAATATTAGCGGAAGTAAAAACTGCACTATGGTATTTAATGTATACGATAAAGCACAATTTGCTAATGTTAATAAATGAAATAAAATGTTAACAACATTATGTTTCTTATTTAATAAGTATAAAATATACGAGCACGGGTGTAAAACTTTTACAGGCTAGCATGTAAATGATTTACACGCGGGTCAGAGTTAACTGACATTTTCAGAGTGTATACAGAGACTTGATAAATTGACATTTACAAGTGAGAAACGAATAAATTCATTATCACAGACACTTCTATCTAATTAATGAGCGTGAAATAGTTAGATGTGGTATTTCGGATCGAAACGCCACCAAAACGCATCGAATTTGTTTTTTCGTCAATTACTACACTTTTATATATTTGATGATCGTAACGTAATGGACCGTCTAAGTCGTTAAAATTTACATTTACTAATAGTGGAGGATTTGTGCGGTAATTTGATTATAGGTCACGCCATTCTCAAAAAGCATTTTTCTATTGAGTTAATTTTTGGTGGATCGAAGGAACCCGTCAAAGTGTGCGGTGTTGCTTCTGTACCTGCGGTACCCTCCTTTTTAAATATTTCTTCTGATTGTAAACCTATTGCTATAAAATCTCGAAGACACCGAAGGTGATACGAAATTCATAAAGGAAGAAATAAGAAAGTTAATGGGAGGGGTAATCGAAGAAAGCACTTCTCCCCCGAGAGCTCAAGTTTTAATCACGACGAATTCCTCTCATAAAAAGCGTCTTGTAATTGATTATTTGTAGATAATAAGTAGATATACGTTTCTGGACACGTATCCACTTCCAAATATCAGATCCCAATCTTATCCGAAGAACGACAATGCACTGCTTTCGAAGCGCTCGGAAACCTTTATCATTTTCTTCGAATTCCTTTCGGTGTAACCAATGGAGAATTTTGGGTCAAACGGCGGGTATTAACCGAAATTTAATCAGATGGTCTCTTGACCATTGTGTACCTATTCCTGAAAGCAGAATTGGAAAATTCGAAACCATTAGTTATCATGTTCATAGACGGACGGACAGGAAGTTCAAAATCATGAACGAGCTGAGTCGCTCGTGAATAAGCGAGTGCTATCCATGAAGGCTTCTACCAGGTTTGCTGATTGCCATTCTGTTGTTTAGTTTTGTATGTTAATGACAAAAATTACCTGTATATTAATAATTTCTCACCCACCTTTATTTACCATTGCAACTTTAACCGAAATTCTGTATTTAATTTATGCTTTTCATTGCAACCCTGTCAGATTAAGAGCACTTCTCTATTGCACATGTAGTTGTGGTACCAGCCAAGTACGTATGCTGGTATTCTGTTAGAATTGCCTCTCTTAACCAGATGAGCTTCAATCAGAAAATTATGGGAAGCAGTAAGTTATTACACTTCGATCCGGTTGTACCAAAGGAGAGAGTAGAGACGGATCAATTCAGTTCAGACATAATTAAGAAACATGGATTTTAACCAATCAAAATTCTTCACTGAGTCAGTCAACTAAAAGTTGAACTATCATCGTACAATAGACCCCTAAGAAATTATTTTACAGTCGCCACCCTAAAACAATTTGGCATCCACTTATCCCACGCTATGACTAGTAAGAAACATTTCGCAAACAGATCCAGTTATTTATGCGTATACATTCGTTTTATGGCCCTATTTGACCTAATCAATAATTGAACATTAATATAATATATGTAAACGCCATAAAACAAACTGCTAAGCCCTGGGACGACTTTGCAATAACAAAATCATCAGCGAACAACCATTTTTATGATACGTGTGTCGTAGTGGAACTGAAATATAAGTTATAAATACGAAAAAAGCATTCCGGCTACAAGGCGTAGAAAACAGAATGGAATGAATAAAGTGGAACAAACAGTTGAATAGGGTAGACCGTATTTAACTATTTCGGCTGACACGAGATGCCCAATTCTGTGAAGTTTATCCTTTCAACTGTACCTACTCTATATTCCTATCCCATTGCCATCAGGCGAATGCTAACGTAAAATGGAGAAAATATTGAAATCAATATCGAGATAAGGTTACCGAAGGAAATACATTTCGTTCTAGTTTAATTTGGATAAAATACATTCATTGTTTTATTATCTAGGGTTTGGAAATACGTTCACAGTAAAATGGCTTTCGGCATTTTACCGCAACAAAATTTAATGCTGCTTCGTTAAAACGGTAACTTTCCACTAGTCATGCAAAGCGTTCAACCGGATCATAGACTTTGTAGTACAAAAAATGAAAGACGGTATATGATTTCCATATTTATGTACATATACAACTATGCTCTCGTAACGGAAATCATTTTTTCTTTCATGCGCATTAAATAATCATTTCGGTCGGTACTTCTAGAGAAATTTTAAAGGGCAAATGTCAACAGAATGTTCACTTTTCCATGATGCTTGCTACCGCTTTCATATGGGTTTACACTCGTATTTCATTACTGGCTTAATTGTACTGGCGTGATCCTGACACATGGAATTAATATTACCATGTCACTTTGTCAAACACATGTATTACAGAATTAATTTGGAAGTAACATTATAATATCGGTTTATTCGGTTGGCTCGTGTTATTTTGGTGCCATTCCGAACGTAACTCATTTGTTACGCACCTTCCTTGAAACATCAACGCGTCTATTATTCAAGAAATAAAGGAGATTTCCCTCAAGAAACAAAGCACGAAGCATTACTTCACATAAATTTAAGTTTACCTCGCTTTGAGTAATTGTACAAAAAAACTCTATACATTTTTTATGACATTGGTCAGGCGACGATACGAAATAATGAAATCAAGCGCTTTGAATACACGGGTCTGCGGCCGCTTTAATACGTAATTGAGACATTAATATATAACCAATCTACTCATGAACTGTAACTGTAAACCACAGACGCTTTGATGGTGAATTGCAGATTTAGCAGAGTTACAAGTTAACAGGAAGTTTGCGGAATATTTGTTATTTTTGTGCTAATTCTGTTAACATTTCATCTATTAGCATAACGGCCCGTGTGGCGCAGTTCAGTTAAAGCCGAACTGTGGTGCTAAGGGTCCCTGGTTCGAATCCGGGTTCGGGTATGGATATTTGTAAATGTATAGTGGGTTGGGTGGGTAGAGCAGCCTTGGCTGTAACCCCGCCCACTCAAAAATAAAAGCAAAATAAATAAAATAAAATAACAGTGCGAATCCCCAATTACTCAATTAGCAGTTTACCGTCTAATTAAAATTTCCAGCATCACACTGAGTACCGTTTGTGCTTTAAATTTTTCACTCTGAGAAGCAATCATCAGCTTATATCGTGGTTTGATTTTAGTGTGCAATGGTTTGATTTTAGTGTGCAATGGTCAACAAGACAAGAAAACCTAGAATTCTTTGAGGAATACCATATCGCTTTGTCAAACACATAATCTTTTTTGTCTATGAGCCGAGATTTGATAGAGGCTTGCGATGTATGATTTGGCCAGGTGGCCTGCTTAAATAAGTACGTATATGACAAAAAAAAATTGATAGCAAGTAGGTACAGTGTAACGAGTAAAAATTCTTAAACTCCATAATAAGAGTTAAAAATGGGAGAATAATAAAGTTGCCTTTTCGTGAGCAACAATTTATCGAATTCGTTATTCAGATGGCACCACAAGGTTAAATTTGAATATTTACAAAATTTTGTGAGGCCTTGACCGATAACGCGTGTGGGAGAAAGGAATGGGAAAAATAGCGGATTCATAGAGAGACTCTCAAGTGAAGAGACATTTTTGAAAGTAATTTTTATATTAATTATTGTGTAATTGGCTCGTTTAAAACGGTCATTAAGTTTAAACCCTTATTTAATAAGGGTTTTTATTGTAAGGCGTTATATTAAGATAAAAATAATTTATTGGCACGTGATTGGGCATCTACTGATGTAATTAGCTTGTGGAGCCTGCAAAATAATTAAGCTGTCTGTGGCACGAAAATCTGGACGCATATTAGCTACCATAGAATCTGAGGGATTAACCAGTCAACCGTAAGCAGCATTTAGCATACTGTCCTACAGTAGGAGTTTTTGTTGCTTCCGTCAAGGAGATAATCCATCCACGGTCATTTGGGCGACCGCGACCAAGATAAGGATCAACATAATCATCTTTCACCATTGTATGAATGTGTGCATGAATGGTCATTGCATGTGTGTAATGCGAATGCTGAGTGATAAGAATTGTGCACGTTTCCATTTTGTATCAGCTTTCAAAAAAATTGTCTAGATTAAGTCCGCTTTATAGTTACATGTATATCTACAAATATTTACACAATTAATTAATTTTCTTGTTATATTTAATGGCTCGAGTCATATAAGTTTTTTTTAAGATTCAGTATACGTACTAACTTATGTTAATTGATGAATATTGTTTTCTTAGTTTTACAAAAATTAAGTGGCGCCCTATTCAAATACAACCAACTGTCAGGTTCCACCTGACTTCCCTATTTAATTGTATATATATATAAAAAACCACCCCCTGTGCCACCGCAGACAAGAGCTGCCAGCAACCAAAGAAAAGTACGCTATAACATGTAGCATCATTTTTTGTCAATCTTTTTTGCTGCATTATCCATGAATGTGCGCTACACTTTTGGTGTGATTAGATTGGTGCCAGACATTAAAATCAAATCCACTTGAAATCTTAGCGGTTAATCCATTAAGCTTTAAGATTTTGAAATTAGGGATCATATTGATTTCTCAAAGAAATATTGGGGTACGTCACAATAAATCTGTAATCTTAAGGCGCC